ATGACCTTTTCCCCACTAGAAAAGGGGGTGATAACACGTGGCCCTCTGCCTGCATAGAATGTCCTCACTGGTTCTCTCCCCAGCTCTCTCTCAATTTCCCCTCTGACCTCCCTGCCCCTTTCTCTTCTCGCCTCTCCTCCACCCCTACCTCTCTCACCCTTGCTGTCTTCTATGCTTATCCACCATGTCACCCATTCTTCACATTGGGATCTACTGTGGGGATGCAGCACAGGCTTAAAGAGACGAGTCACATTTCAGTCTCTGTGCAGGGGACCATTCACCTTCTCTCTTCCTCTGCTGCTGTCTAAAGCATCTTGTCTTTTGTCCGTTTATTGCACTCACAAGGAGAGCTTGAGAGGACATTTTAAACTCCATACCACTACCTGTATTGACTTTTATTTCGCTGCTTTAAATGCTTAACAGAGACCCAGGCATGGTGGGGCGCACCTGTAGTCGGTACTTCACAGGTAGTGCCAAGGGGATCAAGGGGTCAAGGATACCCTTGAATCAAGGTCAGTCTGGGCTCTAGGAGACTCTGTCTGAAACAACACTAAAATGCTCCACATGGATTTGGTTCACATCTTGAGCACTTATTTAAAAAATAAATAATTTAATGAACGAGAGCAGCCATGTCCAAGTCCCAAGGGTGCACTGGCTGCCACCATAGTGAGCCAGGCTCTCTGTGTGGGTACCTGCAGGGCTGGCCACTTGTTAGAGACTGCCATCATGCTGCTCCTCAGACAAGTTCACAGTCTTCACATACCATGGGAATTGGTCCTAATTTCCCCTGCTGTGGTCTGTGAATGAAACTTGCCCGCCTGGGCCAAAGCTGCTTGTGCTATCAAAATCAAAACAACAAAAATCTAGTACTTGGTGGTGTGTCAAGGACTTCCTGACATTGTGTGAGTCTGATAAACCCGGGGAGTCCCGCTGGCTCATGACACCCACAGGCTCCGGGCTTTAAAGGGACATCATGGTTTCACTGTAAACAAAGATTTCCTCAGAAGAGTCTTGGAAAAGCCAGAGGAGAGTGCCCACATGCTCTGAGGTCCACAGCTCAGCAAGGGTCTTAAGTCAGATAAACTGGGGGCAGTGAGATTAGATCCACTGGAACTTAGAAGTCCATCCACTTCACTCTGCCCTGCGCTTTCAAGGCAGTTGGAGAGACCATCTCCAAACCAAACAGGGTTATACTTTAACAGGTCACTAAAGATAAGCGCTGTAATATTGCTTATGAACTCTCAGAATCTAAATAGTAATATCAGCATTGGCTCCCAGGGAGGGAGGGGTCCTGGGAGGACCATTTCCTGATTTTTTTTTACTTTAATTGAGTTTAGCTAATTTATTTTTGTTTAATTGCTACAGGACAGCAAAAATGGTTTTCTGAAAAGCTGAAGTTAAGAAGCAAACTTGAAGAGTTCCATGCTGGAACATCAGCTTAAAAGAGCTGGCCTAGTTGTGTGCCTCACAGGGATACCAAAGGTCTTTCTTGCACATTACCCTGCAGGACAAGAAAGGGCTGAGAGTGGAGAGTGACATTTAAAGACCAATTTCCCAAGGGTTGCACATCCCACATGTCTTGGGCAAAGTTCAGAGAGGCTGAAGCAGGATCCACTTCTGTTTTGCCCTAGAAACCACGATAAGGATAATCCCAGACTTAGTGGCCCCCACACTTTCCTGTGCAAGGAAGGAGGGGAGCTAGAAGATGGCGGGGAGTGCTTCTGTGCTTTAGCATCAAGCACAGGAAAAGAATGTAGGCTTGTGAGCAGGTGTGCATGCTGTTAAATGCTCATTCTGAGACTCGCTGGGGTTTAATGAGAATGCTTTTGATGCTTATACTCTAAAGGGCTCTGTTTATGTTGACGACTTACATTTAATCATAATTTTTAAGTTGAAGGCTAAAAGGAAAAATTAACATCATTGAAATAAAACAAATATCTGGTCTTTTTAGCATGGGTACTGTTGTATTGTGCAGTCATTTATGAGTTGTGTGTGTGTGTGTGTGTGTGTGTGTTTTGAAGGCAAATGGATCTTTTAAGCCGTTCTTTCTGTGGACAGGAGCAGTGGGTACATTGAATCCCTCTCCGCTTTGTGTTCTCAGTCGCTGAGATTGGAGGTCCACCCAAATGCTAACGCACAGCCCTGCCCTGCAGTCTGCGGAAGCCATGGTTGAGGGAGCAGATCTGAGGGGTCCAGAGTCCAACTGGCACCGGAGTAGGAAGCATCATATTTGATGGTATTTGGAGCAGGCCAGGGCCTTGCATCATCTGCACAGATACCAGCTCCTGTTTTAGTTCTTGTCCATTCTCCTCATCTTCTCCTGTCCCTACTCCTCTACTATGATGGAGCCCCATGGATGCAGCTTTCCTTACAGGAGTTTTGGCTTCCTAGGCTTCCCTTCATTATCCATGATAAACTACACTCCAAAAATATTATTTCACAACTCTAGGAATAAACGGTACTTAATTTTTATTGTGGAAGCCTAAAACTAAGACTGACTTAAACGTACTTTGGTGCTCATGGAGTTGTGGTCTCCCATAAACCAGTCTTCTGCCTCAAACAGTGGTCTTGGATATTCCACAAAACCCTGGTCCTAGGATCATGTACAGGCATGATCGTCAGACAAATGTTTGCCCGAAAGCTCAATTCTGTGAGATGTCAGTCCCAGTGACAAGAAAATCTCTGCTGTCCAGGGTCTGGGAAAATGACTTGCTTGTGCAATTTTGCTTATTGCAGGGCTCTGCAATAATGTAGGCGTGAAGAGTGCGCACAGCAGTGGTGTTTGCCAAGCTGAATTTGTATTTCGTGACCTTAGTTTTGAAGCGCTATAGTTTTGGGTTTACCAGTTGTCTTATTCCAATAGGCAGGTCCACACTTAAGCAACTCATCCCACTAAGTGGAAGCTTGTGGTAAACGCTGGAGCAAGGAGCTTGGGAGACTCCATAACCCTTCCTGACTTAGTCTCCTGAGGTTCAACAGGTTATATGAAGAGAAGAATTCCCTTACAGTCTTTCAGTCCTGTACTGGTTTCTTCCCTAACTGCCTCCCCTCTCTCTCCGTCTTTCTTTTCCTTCCTCCCAGCCTTCATTTTTCAGCTTCTTGGTAGGTTAACTGAGACAATGAACTTGTATCTAGAAAACTTTAGAAGCTGGTCAAAGCTTTTGTGGGTCTGCGAAGGTGTTTGTGAGTCAATAGATCCTACTTTGAAATGCTAGAACTTTAGTGTGTGCTCAGCCACTAAATGCCTCTGAGAAGGTTTCCTTTGCTCTTGTGAAGGAAAACTGTTTAGTACTGAGATAGGTTGCCACTAAGAGACCGTAATCTATTATGATCCCATTCTCCAAGTGGTAAATCAAGAACCATAGTCTGTGCTCCAGAAAGGCTTAAACAATTTTCATATATAATTCCACTATGAAATTACTTTTCTATAAATGGTGACTTCACACAAAACTTTACTTTAAAAGTGTATAGAACATAATTCTTACTTCAGTATAAGGTGGTCTTCACTGTGTATTTTCTTTTTATGGCAAAGGACTCTGTGAAGGCCAAAGGAAACCATTGCAGCTGTGGCTACCTATATAAGAGCAGCCAAAGACCAGGCAACAAGATGAGCCACTAGCCCAGCAGACAACACTGCTTGGGCTTAGAGTTCCAAATATAAAAACAGCAGCATAAAAGTGTGGCAGGAAGGCGTGGGGGCAGTGCGAGGGAGGGCTGTTTAGTGGGAGGTAAGGTTTTATGCTCCTCTCCTTTAGGGGTGTACTCTCCACCACTTGGCTAGTTCAGTATGGCACAGTAAGGTCTCCTTGTGAATTCACAAGCAGGCATACCACAGGCAAAGAATGAACTGACCCAAACATGGAAAGACTTCCAGCCAAGATAATATAAGCAAAGTACAACATTACAACAGTAGATTTAAATAACATAAGGATATTATGATTAGTATTATGTAGACAATTATCTTAAGAGACAGTGGAACCTCAGAAACATTGGCAACTCAAGCTTGAATGGTAACCATCCTTAAGAAGACTCATTCTTGCGGAACCTGAGATGCTAAGTCTCCAGGAACCTCTGCTGAACTGGGCATCAGTAGTCAAGCAGGATAAGCTGGCCGTAGGGAACGTAGAATTATGGTAGCCCTGCCCCATTCTGGGGATGCATTCGGGGAAAGAGGTCGCAGACTCAAGAATAAACCACATCTTCCCAGTGATTGGCATGTAGAAATAAAGGAAGCAGAGTAAACTAGTAGGTCACTTGAGGAAGAAGAGTATCATATCCTCAAGAGCATCAAGATCCTTAGGGAATCTTGGAGGAAACTGTGAGAGAGAATTCCAGGGTTCAGGATGAGGGCTTGGGTATGATTCTGAAACCATCCTATATATCTAGTGAAAGCTGTTCTGGGTTAGCCAGAGGTCAGCTACTGAAGTAGGCTGAATAGTGTCCCCCAAATTTCACATCTTTCTAGAACTACTGACTGGAACTTTATTTGGAAATAGGATTTTGAAAATCTAATGACTTAAAGATCTTGCAGTAAGGTGCATCAAGCTGGATTTAGGATGAGCCCTAAATCCAAAGACTGGCACCTCTTTTCTATGTATTTATGGAAGATGACTTGATGTTTCTGTGAGTGTTCCTGACATGAAGAAAATGAGACAAGCAGAATAGCATAGCCATAACTTTATCTATTTGTGGTGAGGAAGTTTAAAATCTGCTGTCTTACTGTAGTGCTTGCCTATGTTCAAGTCCAGTGCCTGGCATCTACATGTGAAAATAAAGGGACCTCTGGACACAGAGACAGGGGAAAAGCCAGATGAAGACAGCAGCTGATAGTGCAGCCAAGCTGACATGGCTAAGGAATGCTGGGTACACCAGAGGCTCAGAGCAGTGAGCCCTGAGCCTCCCAGGAGCCTTGAAAGCCAGTGCCTCTCGGACATCCTGAGATCAAACTGCTGGCCTCCAGAAACATGAGGGAATAAGCTCTTCCTGTGATAAGACGCCAGATCTGTAGGACTCTACCATGGTAGTACCAAGGGACAACTACACACAAGTAATAAGCATTTAGCAGCAACAGGAAGACACAGCAACTCTGGCACCCACGACCCTGTTCTAGGGCTACTGCCAAACAGTCCTCACTTAGCTCCTGTATTCTGTGCAGAGCATCAAGACGATGGTGGCATCTGAGACCCAGGGCCATCCTAGCTGGAGAGGAGTGAGTGGTCCCAGCTTTCTAGGTTGCTGCAGAGATATCTCAGGTGGGACAGGCATGCAAAGAACATGCCGTAGCCTCGATTACTGGGGAGGGGGCTGATGGTTTTCCAGCCTGGCCCAGATTTTCATACCAAGGAGTAGACCTCAATTTACGCCACAGCTCTCAGAAAGAGTTGGTCTGGTCATATGGGCAAACACTGATGGATTGAGATGGGTGAGGCTAGTTCAGTACACACATTACTGCATGCCAGGAGCAACTGCCACGGTGAGCAGGGCCTGTAAGCAGTGAGAAATGGCCCAGATCTGGGAGCCCATTTGCCTCTGCTCCTGTGGTCTCTTGTGCATCCTTCAATGACTTACACAGCTGTCTGAAGGGGATGGGACGGGTGACACATACTTAGAGATCAGGCTTTACCACAGATGCCTTTAATTCAGCCATGTTAAAAAAAAAAGTGCCATTACAGATAGTAAATAAACCAAACTTTCCATGTTGGGTGCCAAAAGATGATGCAGGGCTGAGGTTGAGATGGGAGAAACTTGAGATGAAAGTGTGGGTCCTTTGGAAGCCTATGAACAGTTAAATATTTGGGCTGCTGTTCTGTGCTCATCTTCAGCCCACGGGGTTGGGGAGGATGTACGCTCCCTCAGCCAGTCTCTGGCTTTGGAATGTGCCTGTGATGGGAGACACAGAAGTAGCCCTTCCTTCCGCTGGCCTCCTCAGACATGCGCACCAGGCTTTGTGTCAGTCCTTGCCATGCCCACATGTCCAAACCATCTCCATCTTTTTCTGTTGTTGTTGCTTTGATTTGTTTTTCGAGACAGGATTTCTCTGTTAAACAGTCCTGGTTGTCCTGGAACTCAACTCACTCTATAGACCAAGCTGACCTAGAACTCACAGAGATCCACCTGCCTCTGCCTCCCGAATGCTGGGATTAAAGGTGTGCATCACCACCGCTTGGCCATCTCCATCTTATTTCTCCTTCTTCTGACCTCACCCTGTATTGCTGACCTTATTATGAACTCCTAACTTAGTTAAACCGCCATACTGAGCCACAAACCACCACAATGTCCTCCAAAAAGAACTCAAGACAAAAAACAAAAGGACAACATCCAACAATGACACACACCCAGTGCCAAGGCGTGTGGGCACTGGTTCTGTGCTGAAGCCAAGCAATTGAACTTAATCTAAAGTAAAGACACAAACACACACATATCTCCCCAGGGAACCCAGAGGTCCAGATTGACTTTCCATGTGCTCTCTCTTACAAATGACCTCTGTCACTCCTGGAAGACCAGGGCAGGGTGCAGCAGGTCAAGGTACTTTGTACCACACAGAAGCATCGATCCTGCGTCCTAAAGCCTGCCGCCAACTCCTTGTGCAGCCCTTTAGCCAGAGCTCCCTTGTGCTTACCTTTGCAATCTGCACACACCAGTTGAGTAGGTACTGAGAGCCGATGTTGTCCTTGTGCTCTCGGACATAGTCCAGGAGGCAGCCATAGGGCATCAGCTGTGTGATGAGCTGGATGGTGGAGGTCAGGCAGATGCCCAGGAGGCGGCACACATGAGGGTTGTCCACACTGGCCATCACATATGCTTCCTACAAGGCAAGGCCCACAGATGCATTACAATTGGTTCCCTGGCAGTGACCAGTGGGAGAGGCACATGGCTCCCTTTCAGGGTAAAATGGGATGACTTTGTTTTGAGTTTCAAAGCCTGAACTCTGTACCCCAGTGTCGGGGACATTTACGTGAATCCTTGAGATGCTCGTATACTGTAGGAGGTAGGCTCTCTTTAGGTGTTGCGTGTTGGAGGTCTGCTGGACAGCAAAAGACCCAAATGGAAGAATTTGCTATTTCAAAGGCTTTGATGAAAGGGGATCTGAGTCACCCTGATATTTCAGAGTTCAGGAAATGCTGGTATCTTCCTTGAGATGACCCTCTGTCCTACATCTCAAGGCAAATGATGATGCTGTTAGGGCTTTGTGGGGTCCAAATTTGGATCTCAGAACATCCTGGAGAATGATTTGCTCATGTTATTAGCGGCCATAGTCACTCTAGAGACCCTATTTTGCAGGAGAGATCTGAGTTTGCAGGCAGTCTAGAAGAAGATCTCCACTCTCAACACAGCAGACTTGATTCAGACTCAATGATGGGAGGGCATTTGGATCAGGAAACCTGCCCACAACACCCTTGCAAAGATCAACTGTGGAGAAGTGCTTTTCGCGGTGCCGGTTCCAGCCTCTGAGATGGAGAGTTATGCATCTGAGACACTCATATACACATTCAGACAAGCCTGCATACTTACATACTACATTCTCACACTGGAACATGCACATATGCCCGCACACACACGCACACATACGCTGCCGTATATAGATCTGTTTTACATTCCCTTTCCAGTGCCCGGCCAAAATTGAAACTGGAACGTATACGGAAAAATTATTAGGCCGTGGGATTGCCAGAAAAGCACAAATCACGTCTCTCCTCTGGGTCTGGGAAGCTGTACAATCATAACAGCACAGAAATCCTCCGGCTGGGCCTATTTTCTCAAGATGTGCCGGAGATTTGGGCACATCTTGTATTCATTTTCGAGGGGGAGAAAAAAACATCTGCAAATTGGAGCAGTTTGAGAAGCTTGACGGCCATTGGCTGGTGATGACTGGGAGAGGAACAGAGCAGGGGGCGTGGGCGTCAGGCCACACAGAGCCTGGAGCCCTGCCAGTTGGTTCTCCTAAAATACGATAGACAAACAGAACTGGGCTGTCACTTCCTGCCCACACCCTGCACAATGGGAGTGTTGTGTAGTCGTGTGTGAACGTTAAAGTGAGCTTTGTTCTTCCCTGTTTATGTTGGAAGCCGGGATGGTGCATTGTGCCTCGCAGCAAATATGCCTGGTATCCCACAACAATCTCTGAACCAGCTGGAAGCAGGCAGTACCCACAGGGGAGACCCTGATGGCTTCTGTCCCAGACTCACTGCGGGGCAGTCTGTCCCTGAGGCTTCGGTGACCCTGAAAAGTCACTATTTGTCGCTATTGCTGATAGCAGATTTGGATCCTTCCTTGCTGTCTCAGTCATCTCTGAATTATTTGTGCTGTGAATGGGGCAAAGGGTTCCAGGGGATGCTAGATTCCTTGAGTCTCGACTTCAGAATGAAGGGTAGCGAGCCAGTGAGATGGTTCAGTGGGTAATAGTGCTTGCTGTGGAGGTCTGATGACCCAAGTTTGGTTCCTGCAGCCCTGACTGTGTAGAGATGTAAGGGAAGAACCAACTCCATAAGTTGTCTTCTGGTTTTTGCACATGTGCCGTGGGACATACATCTCAGGTCATTTGCTTCTCATGTGCACAAGTATGAGCTCATGAGTGTGCATGTGTGTGCTCATGCACACACACACACAAGCATTAAGAAAAGTGAAAGGGTAAGAACCATTGGTGTTTAAAAATCTTTCCCAGTTAATCAAGTCACTAAAGACCACATGACAGGGGAGCTAGACCACTGAGTGTGAGGTCACTGGGACCATTTACGAGTGCATGTCAACATTTACAAAGCATGTTCGCTATGGACTGTTCTTGTGGCGATGCTGGTTGATGTTCTGCTTAGCGCCCTGTTGAAACTGACCCCAGGACCACAGGCCTTGCTTCCTTCCACAGCAACCAGTCTCTCAGTGCCCTCGCCCCCACGGCTTTCCAGCAAACAGCACACGGCCCTGCACAGAAGCTGTTTTGTATGTCTGGCAGACACAGCCACGTGACAAGCAAGCCAGAAAGCCTCAAGGTCACCATCCTTGTGGCTGCCATAGCCACAACAGCTGACACACAAGGAGAAAACCAAAATGAGACAGGAATGAAGACACAAGGACAAAGGCAGGCTGAGCATGAGCAATGGAAGGAGAAAGGGGTCAAGGAGCAGGAGTCAGACAGGGACCTTCAGATGAGGGGTGCATTTGACTTTTATGTCTTTACTCTATTTACCTCCAACCCCCCCCCCAAAAGCAGATTTCCTGCCTCCTTTCTGGACCGTAGCTATCATTCAGAATATTTCCAAACTGTAAACTTTCCTTATATTATCACCTTATAAACACTGCTCAAATCCACATTATTGGGTGTAATTTATTAGTGCATCCAAAATGAATTAAAATACTAACTAAGGAATCAAGACTGACCAAACAATTTTCCTCTCAACAAGTACAAGTGATAGACTGTAAGCAAAAAACCTTCACAAGCCCCTGTCTCCTGGTCCTCCTGGTTCTGTGAATAAGATTTGGCATCGGTTTGTAATTTTGGAATGTAAGATGAATTTGCTTGACAGGTATATTTCCAGCATGCATGATTTTCTGTGACACTGGACTCATGCACCATCATCTCTCATAGGAACGGGCAGTGTGGGTTTCCCTAAGCCTCCCTCTCTTTGCTTCAACCTTCTGTCTCAGGAGAAGAGCAGGTTTCAACATCTTATTAAAAGCCCTGACAATACTGAAGTGGGCTCTACCCAGCTCCTAGAAGGCCTAGGAGTTCAGCCCCATCATGAGTTAAGAAGGTTAGGAGAAGTTGGAGAGAATTCAGTAGAATTCAAAGCCAGATGCTGCTCTCGTTGAACACCTTAAAGGCTCTGGAAAGTAACAGTCAGCAGCATGGGAGATGATGTTTAAATTGCGTAGGAGAGCCGGGCGGTTGTGGCGCACGCCTTTAATCCCAGCACTCGGGAGGCAGAGGCAGGCGGATCTCTGTGAGTTCGAGACCAGCCTGGTCTACAAGAGCTAGTTCCAGGACAGGCTCCAAAACCACAGAGAAACCCTGTCTCGAAAAACCAAAAAAAAAAAATAAAAAAAATAAAAAAAAAATTGCGTAGGAGAGGGCTTAGGAGGTGGGGCAAAAGTCCAGTAGGCATCCAGAGGCATTGATCTCTGGCATCTTAAAAAAAAAAAAAAAAAAAAAAAAAACATTGTAAAGAAGAACTGGTTCAGCAAAGGAAAGGGAATTCTCACTTCAGAAGTTGTGATGCACTTCAGACCTCAGCCATAACAATGTGAGCAGTTTCTGCCTCCCACTCCTTCATCAGTAACACGGGGCTGTGGGTGCATCCTGAAGTCACTATGGTAACACATGCTAAGAAATTAGCATCAAGACTGGCCCTGGGACATGTGTGGAAATTCTGAGCTTTCATTCTTTGGGGTGCAGGGGTTAAAGAGAGCCTTGGAGAGGACTGTACTTTCTATATCAGGAAGGAAGAGAAGAGTTGAAAACGTAGTGTTTATGATACGATGGTGAAAATTATTTAAAATTGAGCATTGTGATGGTAGGAAGCAGAACAGGTGCTTTCCGCGGCCCCGATACTTGTGGGCAGCTTGACATTAAATGAAACTTACATCAAGGATTTCCTTGTTGGCTTTTGGAGATGTGGCTTCTCTTAACTCCTTGATGGCCACAGGGATTTTGACCTTCTCACCTTCTGGAACCCAGAGACCCTGAGATGAAGAAGAAAGCTGGTATTAACCTGAAATCATCAGGCCAGGGAACTTGTTACTTTGTGAACTGGATGAATTTTTATTAATGACTCCAATCTTTAAGAGCTCTGCATTGCAAAGTCGACAGTGCTGGGACTCATTATATCACAAAGACTCTTAGCTACCAGGCTTGAAGAATCTGAATAATTTTTTTCTTAGATGAAAACAAATACCATTCATATCAGAGACGCCTCTCTTGACAGCAAATGGAGACCATCACAGAAAACCACAGCTGGACATTATGCAGAGATCAGCTGGGACTATTTCAGAGGAGGGGCCAGAAAGATTGTTAAAAGCCAGACTATGAGAAAGTCTGACATGAAACAGTCTTTCCTTGAAATGGCTGCATAAACAAGACAGGAACATTGCCATATCAACGGACATGCTAAGGTGGAAGGGGAAAGATTTCATGGGTTTCCATCCCCAGCAAAAGAACTATGGGTAACTAATAACTCCTGGAGAAGGAGATTTAGCTTCTCGGGGAGATGAGCCCCCTTATTGATTGTTTAATACAGAGAGATCAGCCCTGAAACCATATGCACACAAACAACAAAAATGGACTTAGCTGGTTGTAGTTATATATTTGTCCATATATATACATATATCTATATTTGCATATATACACATATATGTATAAATATACATGTATATTTTAACAATAATAATAAAAAGGAACTATCAACTGGAGAGTAGGAGTCATGAGAGAAGGTGGAGGAAGGGTACGAAGAGGGGCAAAAGAAGAAATGAAAGGGGAGAAAATGATGTATTTGTATTCCAATTATTTAAAACAAACATTCATATAATAATTTCAAGGGGATTAATGGCCCACGTCTGTAATCCCAACACTTGACACCATTGCAAGATGATTGAATTTAAGATCAGTCTTAGATACATAGTAAGAGCCTGTCTTAAAAAAAAAAAAAAAGGACAAAGCAAAACAAAAATCTATGCTTGCGCTAGTTTGAATGAGGAATGTCCTCCATGGTCTTGGATATTTGAATACGTTTTTCCCAGCTGATGCCACTGTTTGGAGAACTGTAGTTGGGGCACCCTTTCTGGAGCAAGCACATCGCCTCAAGGGTGACATGAGGTTAAAATTCTCACACCATTTCCGGTTTGTTCCCACTGCTTTGTCCTTGCCTTTGAAAATGAGAACAGCCATCTCCCTGCTCCTGCCGCCAGGCCTAGAGCCTGCTGCCACGCTCCCCTGCCATTCTGGGCTCTAAGCCTCTGGAGCTGGCCGTGGAATTTGATCCTAGATAGAGAAGCGACTAATGCAGCTAGTTGTAAAGGCAGCATGGATCATTCAGAGTCATAACTGGAAGAGACATTATAAAAAATAGACCTAGGAAAACCAGATTGAGATGTTTGTTATATGGTTTATTCTGACAGTTCAAAAAAAAAAATCAGCCTCTCTACCAGTTACGCTCCCAACCTATGCTTCAAGCTCAGGAATAGAAAATGCTTTTGATCTCACAGTGATAACAAACAAATTTTTTTTTTCAGTATCCTGGGTAAGACTGCAGTTCCTACACCTTCAGCAAAACAGACAGATCTTGATAAAAAGTCACCAAAATGCTGGTGAATCTGAGTTACCCACACTGGGCTGAAGTGCGGGGCAAACACTAGTTCCCAGGGCTAGGTGCACAACTGTCTCCAGGATGTTACCTTATACACTGTGCCAAATGCTCCGGAACCCAGGACTTTGATCTTCTTGAATTCTGTTTCCTTTAAGATCCTCAAGAGGGCTTGGTTGGGAGCTTCTCCGCTGGGTGTGAGCGGTTCCACAAGCTGCGAGGATGGGAACAGACCCGAGCTGTGAGCTCTGCATTCCACAATATGTGACATGCATGGTAGATGCATTCAGGGTAAGGGCAGCCAGCTGCTGACAGCATGCAGCCATGCCTTACTACAGAGCATTCAACACACACGTTCAAAAGGAGCCATGCACACCTTTTCTTCAGTAATCTACAGGAGAAACCCCCGTCTTCTGATGCAGGTGTTTAACAAGACAGCTCTATTTGAGGGCTGTGTTTTCCATATCTATATCTATGTCAATCAGTTTTAATTAAAATATAGCAACAAGAACAATGTTATGCCATAACTGTTTGCGTCACCTCTATGTTGATGAAGGGCCATGGTTTCTAATGCAGTGCCGGACACAGGCATTAGCTGAAGGGTAATAATGGCTTAACACCCACTCCAAAGAGTTTCAAAAAGAAACATCCACTTGTGTGGAATTGTCTCCCAAAGTAAAATCTCGATTATGAAACCATTGTAAGATTTCAACGTCTCTCGTCTTGATTGCTTTCCTGTATACACGTAGAGGAGCTACCCTTTAGGCAGGCCTCCCCTAGACTTTGAATTTTCAAAGACAATGCCCAAGACATGCATGTTTTGTTGAATGGAGATACTGAAATAAAACAAATTGTATATAATTGGACATTTTTTTCCTGGTTCTTCCATCCTAACCAATAATTCATAGTGGCAATTATGTATCTGCTATGGGCAAGTGTCTTGCAAAAACTCATGTGTTTAAAATGGACCATGATGCTAATAGGAAATAGTAGGGCTTTTATGCAGTGAGGCCCACAGGGAGCCCTTTGGGTGATTGGGGTAGAGATCCAGAAGGGACGGTGGAGCACTTGTTTCCTCTCCCTGGCATGTGGTGAGTTAATGTGCTTCACCATGGACTCCTGCCCCAGGCCCAAAGTAACACTGCTAACCCCCAAACTCTTAAAAGCAAATTAACCTCTCTTCTTTATACATGGACTATCATGAGTGCTTGTTACAGTGATAGCAAAGCTAAACCACACCTAATCTATATAGTTTCACACTGTAAGCTCCCCGGATAAGGTCTTTTCTCCACTGCAACAGTTGAGGGTCGTGAGGATGTCACTGACCCGCAGGCAGCAGGCCTCACCTCTCTCTCCTGAAGTAGGCGGCGTAGGGTACGTTTTCGGACAATGTGGCGTCGTCTCATGAATAGGCCAATCCCAAGGGCCACCACAACTATGAAGAGAAGGCCACCCACAATCCCAATGGCAATGGATGGGATCTTGGGCCTGGAATGAGGTTGAGAGAAAGAGAAGGTAACAGTGGCATTTCATACATATCCTGTACCTTTGGATACATAAATAAAATTTAAAACCATCTCAGAGACTGGGATACTGTGTGAATTCTGGAAGGAAAGACTGGGGGCTAAGTTTTAAGATAAGGTTTCCAACATTCTTTGCTCCTTTGCCCCAAGTCAGCTCCCTTTTTTTTTTTCTTTTAAAAAAACATTGGTCTCCATAGGGCCTGGCATTGGTGGTGAATGTCTTTAAAACCAGTGCTCGAGGAAGAAGCAGGCAGATGTCTGTGAGTTCAAGGCTAGCCTGGTCTACCTAGTGAATTTCAGGACAGCAGGGTTACCCACATAGTGAAACCCTTTCTCAAAAATAAAAAAAAAAAACAAACCACAAAGCAAAAATTGAGGTCTCATCTGAATGTCTGTCATTATGATAACCATTTTTTATAATCATTGATGGAGAAAATAAATAATATAGAATTCAAAAAATAATCCAGATGTCAATACCACTTTTTAGTTTATTTTAACTTTTTGATAATTTTATATATGAGTACTGTATTTCCATCATCACTGTTCCTCCTATATCCAACTCCCATGCCCCTCTGTTCCCTCTCAAATTTATTATCTCTTCTTCTTTAATTGTTCACATACGCACAATCACCCCTACTCCCCATGCAGATAAAATCAACCCAGCTGATCCATTTTATGTTGTTCATATACTCATATGTGTATGTGTTTAGGAATGAGCACAGAAACTGGATAACCTATCAAGGGCTTGGCTCTGGAGAAAATGGCCCCTCCTCTCTTAGCAGCCACTAGTTGCCTGTAGCTTTTATCTAGGGGTTGGGCTTTATGAGATTCCACATGCATGTTGGCATGCCAACAAGTACTGTCATTGTGCAGATCTTGTTTAGACAACTATAGCTTTGAGAATGCACGAGTGCAGAGCTTTCTTTCATAGATATATAGAAGACCATCTCATAGCAGGTAACCTGGTCTTCTAATTTTTACCATCTTGCTCCCCCATCTTTCATGATGTTCCTTGGACCTGAGCTGTACGGTTGTGTTGTATAAGTAAATATTGCTTTTTTTTAAACATGAATTTACATCTTGTCCTTTCTAAGAGAACATATATACAACTGAAAAAAAATAGATATTTTCCCATGGCCATGTTGGGAGTTCTTCCAGTCCCATTGAGCTCTCATCATGTGAATGAACTCGATGGAAGTAAAAAAAATGATTTAGACATAAAAAGCATCATTGTTGCTATAAGTGTTGCCCCAATACACCCCCAAACCCAAGAATACATTCTCTTCTCTGTCTCATTGAGGTCAAGTCTAATTTCAGAAAGATGAAAAATCAGAAGTCATGTCTTCAATCTCACTAATGACTATCTGAATTAATATTACTAACTCTGAATTTGGATTCTTTAAGGATTATTTTTTTATTTATTTTATGGTGGTGGCAGACTGAAAGTTAATTATCCTGAAGAATCAACCTTCATGTGAGTTCCTGATAAATTTATTCTTATTTTCAGGTAGACATGTTAATGAATAGCAAAGATTTGTTATCATTGTTATTTACATATAGATAAGGTAGCAAAGTCCTTGCAGACCTTCCCTAATTGAACCAACTGTACTTCCGGAGATGGAGTACATTTCCTTCTCAGGACATACAAGTCATCTCTGGAGCTATAGACCAAACCCCTGGCTAGTAAAACTAATGAGTTTTCACCAATAAAAAAGAACATTGGGATATACCAGGAAAAATTGTTTCAGAGCATGTATTAAATGAGAAGCCACACTAACAAAGGGAGGTCAAGAGTTTGGAAGAGAAAACAGTTAATAAAGAAATGCTGACAAAGAATGGTCATTGACTTTCAAGGCAGGGATTGTATGGAAAACCATATCAGAGTGTCATGGAGGCTGCCTGGAAGACAGGGGGAGCTCTGTTGGGGCTTCATCTTGGAAGCTCTGAAAGGAAATGGCATTTGAAGGGTATCGTGACTGAGACAGGCTTTATTTTATTTTACTCTTTCAATTGATGGCAGAAGGTACCAACCACCACCGTTAAGGAAGAGACAGTAAGGGAAGGGATATTTGTAGATATGTCCACAACTGAGAGAGAAGCCTGAGCACCAAGCAGGTATTCTGTAGACAATCTCAGTTCTCCACCAGATGCTGTTGGCTGGTGATACACTTCTGCATGATGGCTCTGAGCAGAAATTCACAATTTCACTCCTCTCTTGGCAACATCTCTGTCAATAGTGGAAAGTGATTAGAAAAAAGATGTTGAAGAAAACTCATTGTCTTTTCTGGAAAATATGTTTCAAGAAAGAAGAGAAAACGTTACTGAGGTGGACCTTGGTCATTTGACAAGAAAGTTATTCACACCATGTTTGTGACATGACCACCCAGGCTACTTAGAAGAAAAGAGGAGGCCTTTAGAAGAGACAAGACTTAAGTGGAGTTGCTGTGCCTGCAAAGCTAGAAACAGATACGTAGAGGGGTCTGGTCCACACTGTCGACTTCTTATGTGGCTGGCCCTAGCGTAGTCCATCATGTATGCCCTCCACTGACCAACAACATGGACACAGGGTGAGAGGGCAGAACTGGAGACCTGTGGTTGGCCCAGAGGACTTGGAAGAAACTGAAAGGCTTGAAGGAACTCAGAAATGGCTTCTGGTCATAGATCCAAAGTCACAGTACATACCTTGGTAGTGGGCATCCTTGGAGACCTGGCCCAGTACATCTGCAGGAAAAAAGGATGCACATCTTTTTCATTCTGCTTTATTGGCATCTGTTTGATAATTTTCCACATTAAGTCATAAAGCAATTGTGACAAATTACTCTTGTATATCTATAATCACAGTGATCTCAAAGCTGGATAGTTGCTAACATATTTTATACATTAATTCAATTATATAAAATAATTAATACATTTGTTTATTTACGCAGAAAATATCTTTGAGTGGAGGATTGTTATCACCTTCAGCTAGGTTATTACCGAAATGCAACACAGTATATAGGTGCCACACAGCTTGCACCAAATGTCTGGATGGACAGGGGAGCAGTATGACAGAGACCATATTTGGAGAACATACTCTAAATACTCTGCCTCTATTACTCGAAACAAGAATTGGTTCTCATCTCTACCTTCTGCTTTTCTTGGCTTTTGAGAGTTTGACTCTCTGACTTCTCCTTGCTGTCAGATGAAGCTGTGTGCAATGCCTTTGGCCTTTCATTCATAAACTAAACTTGCTGGCATTGCATCTCTAAGCAGTGGGATCCACCAGGAGGCCCAGCTGTTTCCTTCTAGACTCACAAACGATAGTCAAAGAAAGAGAGGAAGCGTTCTCTAGTGTCCGTTAGACTCTCCTTCAAGTACGACGTCTGGTGCTCTGTTTATTGTTGAATGTTCAACACCAGGAGTCCATGCCTGCTGAGGGGATTGACAGTTTGGACAAGCGGCTTTGAAAGCTACCCTGGACAATTGCCATTGATTGTCAACAGGAGACTGAGATCCGTGAGCTCAGAGGGAAAGATAAACGAGTTTCCATGTCACAGGATGACCAGTGGGGAAGGTGACAGCACCGAGGCTGCCGAGGGAAGGATGGGGCATCAAGAGACTAAGGGACCACTCGGGAAGCTGACAATGCGCTCTCCTGTCTTTTGATTCTTGGTGGGAGGTCAAAGAGGTAGCATTATCTACTTCTGTCATATTCTGCCTCCCACGCAATTCCTTCTTTCATTGCAAGAAATTTATAATTACAATGGTAACAAACACATTGGGACGTACAACCAAAATGAGCAAATTCTTGGGGGAACATTGTTGAATTTATCAGGATAAAAATTTCAAGACAATATCTTCTTTTTGTTTAATATAAAAACAAGGTTCAACTTAAAGAAGCATGTGCCTCAAGCTCAAGTGTCCCTGCAAATGCCGAAGTGGTCACAGTCGTGGCTTTTGGAGTCACGTGGGTTCCTTATGTGTAATCCAGCTTCTAACATGACTGGTTTATAAACTGTATTGCTGAGTCCCATTAAATATTACCTTCCCCATAAAACCAGGAAAAGCACCACCATTACCCTCTCTCTGAAAATTAGAGTGGCGGTGTGTTTGATAAGATATACATTACAAATATGTAACTAGAGAAAACATATCCTCATTTTCACTTGTCCCCATCAACCCTTCACTGTACTTTAAAAAGTAGATCCATTTCAATCAACCAACTCTGTGCAATTAGTTACTGTGAGATAAAACACAGGTAGCACTAACAAGACTACTTAAAAGTGCATGTTCTTCATCAGACTTATAGCATTAGGAAAACACAGAAAAAAATCAGACCAACTGATACATACAAAATTTTAATCTACATTATAAAAAAAATCTATCTTTCTGTATTTGGAAACTCTTATTCAAGGTAAGAATGCCTACTGGCAATTAATTCCTCCTGCTTGGTGACTTTCGAGAGCCCCTTGAGGCCAATAGTACACAGTCACAGACAGAAACATACACATATACTTATTTCCAAAGCAGGGAAAAGGAGAGACGTTCATTTATTGTATACAGCTCACACAGTAATGTTCTGGAGAATCTGCTCCAAAACTGTTAATGCAAAAAATGGGCTAAGCTGAAAAGGAGCAAAGCATTATTGTTACAGGCTTTGCAGAGGTTGCGAACTGGACAATGTAACCAGTGTGTGGTGCAGACACAGGGAAAATTGGACGATGTTAAATTACTACCACAGAAATGGTAAATTCCAAAACCCACACCTCATTTTTAGAAATATTATTTTGAAAGTGCAGATGGCTCTCCTTGGCAAGATAATTGGAGTCTCAGACCAAGAACCAAGGCATTGTTAATGCTGACACACCACTGTCCTGCCCGTCACCATCAGATGTCAAGTGTTGACTTCAACTATTATTGTTTCTGATATTATTCTGGGAATTCCGGCCCCTTTATACAATCTGAGACTTTTGGAAAAGAATTTAAAACAAAATATTGAAAGGCAGTACGATTGTTTTGCCAGAAAACTTATTGTTATAACAGTCACAGTTACAAGAATTGCCACTGTCACCACCACCGCCAGCAGTGTCCTCAATGGCACCACCACCACTATCCATGTAATTAGCATCACCACCACCACCACCCACATCACCACCACCAGCATCCACATCACCACCACCACCACCCACATCACCACCACCACCACCACCCACATCACCACCACCACCATCCACATCACCACCACCATCCACATCACTAGCACCACCACCATCCACATCACCACCACCACATCCACATCACCACCACCACATCCACATCACCACCACCACCATCCACATCACCACCACCACCACCAGCATCAGTCCCTACCACCACCACTATCGTTAACATTGCTTGTTAGTGCTCACCTTGTCTTAGTCATTATTTTAAATACATTATAGATACTAACTCATCATCACAAAATCCTGTAATTTATGTTGAATTACTTATCACTGGATTTTACAGAATAATGTATTTAGATACACAGCATTGTAAATCCAGGTTGCTGGTATTGGAGAGATCAAGAGAAAGAGTGAGTGAGAGTTCTGAGTAAGAGGGAAGATTTTAGAAATACAATGACATGGGTAATATATATAAACGAAAACTCCGACACTGTTCTGGTTACTGAGTGTGATCTGATTCAATTGTTGATTTATAGTGTTCCAGTCAATCAAATGTATAGAATCAGAACGCATCTGCTAATTCTACTCTAGCCAGCTTTAATTCAAGCCACTGAAGTCAGCTTAACAATCAAGCAGATTTCAAAAAGGTGCTTTGAAACAATTCAGGAAGTGTTACTGTGTATATGTGTGTGTGTTCATGTGCGCTCACGTGTGTGTGTTCACGTGAGCCCACGTGTGTTCATGTGCTCTCACATGTGTGTGCATGTGTGTTCATGTGAGCTCACGTGTGTGCGTGTGTGTTCATGTGCCCTCATGTGCATGTGTGTTCATGTGCGCCCATGTGTGTGTATCTTCATGTGTGCTCATGTGTGCGTGCACTGTGTGAAGTCTAGAAGTCAACACCAAATGTCATTTTTGAAAAACAATTACTCCTTTTTTTTTGAGTCAGGATCTCTCAGTAAACTCTAGTTCACCAAGAATTTGGCTAGAATGGATGTCCAGAAAGCCCCAGGGATCTTCCTATCTCTGCCTTTCTAGTGCTGAGGTTACAGGTGTATACAGTCTTTACTGCTGTTTTTTTCTACATGGTGTTGGCGAACAAACTAGGTCCTTAAGTCACTGAATGAGCCACCTCCCCAGGCTCTTCCCCACTCCCAGCCCATACCATCCCCAACCCAACCCTTATTATATAGAGGGGGAAGAGGTTGATAGCTGTACCCATCACTCTTTTCTATTGGCAATGCAGCGCCAAGGAACCAAGACTACCCGAGACACACATCCTGAAAGACAGAGTGATAGTCTTATCAATCTGAGATCTTCCCATCAGCATATCCCGTCTGCCACCACAAGTGCACAGTTGAAACATATTAGGGTCCTGGCTAAAATACAAGCCTATATAAATTCACTGCCTAAAATTTGGTAGGCATTTCCAGTGTATAAATTCACACGCTTTTGTAGGTGACTGACTGTACTGCTCTTACCCATAGGTACAGTTTGGATGGCAGAGGTGGCAGACATTGTTGGCGTCTGCATACTTCCAGACCAGCGTGCTGTTCTCCCCCATGACCCCAGCTGGGCAGGTCTTCACACAGTGTGGGCCGTCAATGTAGTGGGCACACTTGATGCAGTTGTCCGGCCCCTGAAGCAAGATACAGAGGACGTTACTGATCTTTTTAGTTCTTTTTCAAAAATAGAAATAACTTCCTATTTATAATATTTACTGTGAGCAAACAAAAGCCAATGATATGGATGTTCTTTATTATTGTATATGTGTGTGAATGTCTGTGTACCATTTGTACGCCTGGTGCTCATAGGAGCCAGAAGCGGGCATCAGATCCCCAGAAACTGGAGTTGCAGGTGGCTGTGGGCTGGCACATTGGTGCTGAGAATCAAGCCTGGGTTCTCAAGAAGAGCAGCCAGTGTTCTTAACCACTGAGGCATCTTCTTCCCAGTGGAGAAGTTCTTTTTTTTTATTTATTTATTAAAGATTTCTGTCTCTTCCCCACCGCCGCCTCCCTTTTCCCTCCCCCTCCCCCAATCAAGTCCCCCTCCCTCGTCAGCCCAAAGAGCAATCAGGGTTCCCTGCCCTGTGGGAAGTCCATGGGCCACCCACCTCCATCCAGGTCTAGTAAGGTGAGCATCCACGAAACTGCCTAGGCTCCCACGAAACCAATAGGTACAGTAGGATCAAAAACCCATTGCCCTTGTTCTTGAGGTCTCGGTAGTCCTCATTGTCCACTATGTTCAGCGAGACCGGTTTTAACCCGGGCTTTTTCAGACCCAGGCCAGTTGGCCTTGGTGAGTTCCCGATAGAACATCCCCCTTGTCTCAGTGTATGGGTGCACCCCTCGCGGTCCTGAGTTCCTTGCTTGTGCTCTCTCTCCTTCTGCTTCTGATTTGGACCTTGAGATTTCAGTCCGGTGCTCCATTGTGGGTCTCTGTCTCTGTCTCCTTTCGTCGCCTGATGAAGGTTAATATTCAGGAGGAAGCCTATATGATTTTCTTTGGGTTCTCCTTCTTATTTAGCTTCTCTAAGAACCTGAATTATAGGCTCTATTTATGGCTAGAAACCAAATATGAGTGAGTACATCCCATGTTCCTCTTTTTGGGTCTGGCTTACCTCACTCAGGATGGTGTTTTCTATTTCCATCCATTTGCCTGCAAACTTCAAGAAGTCCTTGTTTTTTACTGCTGAGTAGTACTCTAATATGTATATATTCCATACTTTCTTCATCCATTCTTCAATTGAAGGGCATCTAGGTTGTTTCCAGGTTCTGGCTATTACGAACAATGCTGCTATAAACATAGTAGAGCATATACTTTTGTTGTGTGATAAAGCCTCTCTTGGGTATATTCCCAAGAGTGGTATTGCTGGGTCCATGGGTAGGTTGATCCCAAATTTCCTGAGAAACCTCCACACTGCTTTCCAGAGTGGTTGCACAAGTTTGCATTCCCACCAGCAATGGATGAGTGTACCCCTTTCTCCACAACCTCTCCAGCAAAGGCTATCATTGGTGTTTTTTATTTTTGCCATTCTGACAGGCGTAAGATGGTATCTTAAAGTTGTCTTGATTTGCATTTCCCTGATCGCTAAGGAAGTTGAGCATGACCTTAGGTGTCTTTTGGCCATTTGAACTTCTTCTGTTGAGAGATCTCTGTTCAACTCAGTGCCCCATTTTATAATTGGGTTGATTAGCCTTTTACGGTCTAGTTTCTTGAGTTCTTTATATATTTTGGAGATCAGACCTTTGTCAGTTGCGGTGTTGGTGAAGATCTTCTCCCAGTCAGTGGGTTGCCTTTCTGTCTTAGCAACAGTGTCCTTCAAATATACAAGTGATGTGGTTGCTCTTGCCTGCTGTGCCCGCAATAAGCTACGTTTTCCTGACTGCACTGAAAACAATTCAATTTCTTTTCATATGTTTTGTACTAATGATTAGCTAATGAAGAAAGTGTGTGGATGCGCTGTGGAGATGAGGGCACTTCCTGTGAGAGCTAGTGTTTGCCTTCCACTGTGTGAGTCTCAGGGATGGAACTAAAGCCTTCAGACCCGACCGCAAGCTTCTTTATCATTTGATTTGTGGGCTATAATCTGTTAAGAAAGGACAGCTGCTATTGTGTTCACCGTTCTCAGTCCCTCTAGTACAGCCACGTTGAATAAAGTACATAAAGGTTTTCATAGAAAAAGCAAATGAATTTATCACACCCAAGCATAAATTAAACTGCGTTCTTCACCATATTTTTTAACAGTACTTTAAGATATCGTGGGCATAGTACTTGTCAGAGTCATTTCGATTGGTCTACGTGTGTTGTATATCCTTATCTTTCCTGCATATCCCATCTGAAGTTAAAAGGCAGTGCTGAGGGAGGCCAGCCTTCGGCTTGCTGAGGCGCATGAAGGGAAACCCTCTTTTGTATTTCTCCGTGGGAACGAAGGTGGCACATGGCGGTGCGGGCAGCGGAGTGGGCTGTGAATGTGCAGCGCTAGAGTCTGTCTGTAAAACCTGGAATGTCCTTGTAAAATCCCCAGAAACGAAGGCAGCGGGACTGCCCGGGTTGTGTGCTTCACACTTCACGAGAGGACTGTTAGGCAAGGGTTTTCCCCCTTGGCTCCACTAACCAACCGTTCAGCTCTGTCTGCACAGAGGCGGAACACATTCAAAGCCAGAGCAGCTGGAAGACTAAAGCAAGAGCAGCGATTATTTCTCTGCAGCCATGAGGACGCGATCCAATGCCCTGCAAGCCTGCACACCCAGGGCTTATTTGGTAACCAGTCACGCTGACAGTCTCAATTTCCTAACTCAGCTCTGTTACACTCCGCTTGACTGATGGACAACCGCTGAAACAGGTTTCAATGAGGACACTTAAGAGTTTGCTGCTGGAACTCACAGGGAAACCGAGCCCCGACTAGGCTTAGTATCAGGTAGGAGCAGCATACTTGAGTCAGAGCAACCTGAATTCCCACAGACATCCCTTAGAAGTTTGCTACTGCGTGTGTAAAAAAAAAGCAACTGATTGAAGAAAAATTGCTGGGATTTCTTTAAAAAAAATAGTGTAACTTGAATGTGTTAAACAATGGTTTGGTGGCGTTTGATTAAAATGAGGAGATGTTGGCAGATGGCCAAAGCTGTGTGAGCTGCCTGGCAGTGTCTCAGGCCAGTATAGCCTGTCCTGTGATACAGTGGGGGAATGGCCATGGTGAAATGAGTGTGAGATGCTGGGCAGGCAGGGGTGAGGCGCTTCTACCCTGCATAGGCACTTTAAGGATCAGGTCCTGAGGCTCTCTTCCCTGGAAAGGGCCTGCACAGCTATCTTTCCTACTTGGGGGCGGCTTGGATCATCGCTGTTCCTGCTGCGGCTCCTGTGAAGGCTTTCCCACAAAGCAGGGTAGAGCGTGGAGTAGAACTCCTTACCCGGCCTGTACAGGTGATGTTCATGTCCTGGGGCAGACATTCTGGATGGCACTGGATGCACTCAGATTTCTCCACAAACTCCCTCGGCTCCCTGGGAAAAGAACACAGTGAACTGAACATGCCATACCCCGAGTGGCGGTAACTATTTCAAGTAACGCAAATGACCTAGCCCAGAAACTCAGAAGCATCTTAGGGCAAAGAAAGGGTCAGAATGCTGGGCCTGACCTGAAATATAATCCGCTGAGCTCGTTAATAGAGCCTTAGGTCACCTTGCACACAGTTTCATTTATAACCAGGGTACTTCTTTGACCTTTTCCTACTGGCATAGTTGCTGAATGTCAGGTAAGAAAGCCAAATATGAAAACATCTGAGAACCATCCCTTCCCTCTAAGACCCACATGGACATTTAAGCTGGAAAGAAATGGTTACTAAGACTAAGGAAGGGATAGGAAAAGAACGTTCAAACTTGTTCACTTCCTGAGTCTCTGGAAAAGTCCTTCCTGTGCGCTGTTTTCCCTGGTATTACAGCAATAGATATATTAAGCCAATAATAGACTCCTCTCGGGTGGCCTTTCCTTTGCCTACTTTTACTAGGTCAGGCTGAGCTGGCAGCATCTAGAAAGAGGCAGCAAGGACAGGAAGAGAGATGGAAGAGGCTGTGGAACAGCAGTAACAGCGAGCCGTCGTCAGGCCGAGCTGCAGATGTAGCACCTGGCCAGCTGTTTGGTGGCTGTAGAAGAGGAGACCAGCCAGCTTGAGAGGGGCAAAGCAGGCATGAAGGGGAGGGCAGACAGAGAGAAAATGGAGAGCTGAGGCCGAAGAATTGACCACTGCATAGAGCAGGAAAAAACAAACTTCAGGTCCTGGTGGCTGAGGGAGTTCCAGAGTACTTCCCGGATTTTAGAGCCACGTGTCTCACGCATCTGGGGCCCAAGGATTGTCACAGCAATCACAGTCAAGAATGGAGGAGCCTGTCACTCAGGCCCTTCTTGAAGCTGCACCCACTGCTCTGACAGGCTTGGGAATCCTAATGTAGAGGGCCTATACACATGTCATAACACCTAAGAGTCCCACACTGCAGGCAACTGTAAGAAATCTAAGACTTGTGGAGCTAAGGGTCCCAAAAATCAAGGAATGGACTAGGGTTGTAACAGCAGAGGGTGCCACGCGCACCTGTCCCTGCCTGCCTGTTGTCACTGCTCACTGATGTCAAACTGCGAAGAGTACAGAAGAGGCCAATGGCCAGCCCTGGACGGCTTCCCCCCGGCAGAACATAGAGACCACAGCCAACTCACTGGCAGTGAATAAAACCCTCAGTGGTGATTTTCTGAGCTTTGTCTCCTTGTCACCTCCTGCAGGACTCTGGCTTGAGTGGTGATGAGGTGCTGCAGGCCATCGGCATCTCACACTAAGAGCCCTGGGCCTCTGGGTGCAGTGAAGAGATTTGAAAGTTGAAGATATGAACGTCTATTTTAGCACAGGAAGGGCTATGGTGCTGCTCACTGTGTGACGTCAAACAGCAGTTAGAGCAGTAGCCCTAGGCCCATGGAGATATTCTTACAAAATCAAAATTGCCTTTCCATCCAGCTCTGGAATATTTCTGGATACAAACTGTGGTCAACACCCTGTTAGCGAAACAGGATGGAAGATTTCCCTGCACTGCCTGTAACTCACATGTCTCTCCTCCACCATAGCTTCTTCTCGTCCCTTAAATAACAACAACAACAACAAAATGCCCCTTTCTGCCCTTCAATTTAATTTTCAAATAATTTCTTTAAATCATTACCAATATTCACTTAAAACTTTATGCCAACATTGACATACTTTGTACTATCAATTGATTACTTTTTTTAAAAAATTTTTTCGAGACAGGGTTTCTCCATAGCTTTTGGTTCCTGTCCTAGAACTAGCTCTTCTAGACCAGGCTGGCCTCGAACTCACAGAGATCCACCTGTCTCTGCCTCCCGAGTGCTGGGATTAAAGGCGTGCGCCACCACCGCCCGGCAATTGATTACTTTTAAACTAACAAAATATAGGATTTACATTTTTCTTCCTGGTTTTATTAAAATAATTTGTACCACTCAATAATCAGTGTGTGTGAGGGGCACATAAAACTAAAATTAATTAGGAAATGCTCTGTGTTGATATATTTTTAATACAATGGGAATAGTGGACAGGAAAGAAAAGTCCAAACGCTCACACTTTCTTAAATATGTTAGCTACTGTGTCTGTTCTATCTTGAGGAATTTCTGTCAAATGAAAATTTAAAGTATTGTCAGGAAGGGAGACTGGACAGATTATCAGGTGCATTGAGGAACAATGAGAAACTTGCTTTCTAATGTGATGAACACTTTGCCAAAAAAAAAAAATGAACATCAAATAAAGAAAGATAATATCAAGAACAAGAGAGAAAGAGAAGAAAAAACGTGAATAACTGCAAGGCTGTAGAAAGAGCACGGGGCTCATCTCCCAGCTAGACAGAGGCTGAAAGGACAGTGTCTCACCCCTCCAGGACGTTGCACTTCTCCACACACTCCCTGCCCCTGCTGACGTTCTGGCAGGAGACACAATCCCTGGGCGAAGGGCCCCAGCATCCTTCCGAGGAGCATAGAGGATTACAGATGTGGCCTGTGGCCTCTGAGAAGACACAGTGAGTCACAGGGTCAGTCACAGAGCAGTAACGGGAGGGATCAGAAGAGGTGACCCTTTCTGAGGGACTGTGTACTCTTTGTAGGCACACAGGGGTTCTGAGGAGAGTAGGGGCCAAAGCCTTTGTTCTCTCTTGTGGTCAGGGCAGCTTGAACCTGACTCTCGGGAGGCTTTGATGATGGATGTCACAACTGACAGACACGGCAGGGAAGGTTGTAGCTGCTTGCTGTGTGCTGGGTACTATGCCAAGAGAGTCACATACAGGCTCTCATGTCACTGAGGAATGCCATGGTGCCGGAATCATCACCATGTGTGAAAGAGGAAGCCAAAGCCAAGGTGATTAAAGCATAAAAACCAGGGCAAGTTCTCAAAGCCCAACTGGGCCAAAGCATCGCTGATACTCAGTATTGCCTCTGTTAGTGTTTAGAGTCTTGCCACAAGTCAGTGGCATTTGCAAGTTTCAAAATCTAATTTAATTTAATGTTTTGAAACCAGAGTTGGGAATATAACTGTGGGATGTCATACATTCTTTTACACACATGTGTAGGCACACGTGTGCACTTGGATGATGTGGCTCTAGCGACTAAAGACTGATGTGAGCATAGCGCTATATTTAGTCAAAATGTAATATAATCAAGATCACATTTCATCCTTTAAATTCCAGGGATATCTAACACATATCTAACCACATATCTAACAAGAAGTAACTGAAGGGAGGAAGGCTTTACTTTGGCTAGCAGTTTAAGAAGGGGCACTGTTCATCATAATGGCAGAAGCATGAGGCCAAGTGTTCAAATACCTGAGCCTCCTGGAAGCATTATGAACATTGCACAATACCAAACGTGTTTATTCCATCTTCTTAAGACTTAAAAAAAACTCCACTATCTTTTTTATTTTGTGTAGAGGATGAACATGTGCACTCCTCCACTGTGGTGTGTGTGTGTGTGTGTGTGTGTGTGTGTGTGTGTGTGTGTGTGTGTAGTATCAATTTGTGGGAGCTGGCTCTCTCCTTGCTCCATATGAGTCCTGGGAATAGATCTCAGGTCTCCAGGCTTGGCAGTAACGCTCTTTTCTGCCGAGCCACCTCACTTGCCCTCGGCAAGTCTTTAACAGTATCAATAGCGTTCAGAAATCTCAAGTCTATTTTTTTCTTGGGACTCAAGGCATTCACTTAGCTGTTGCTCTCTAGGCAATCAGAAAGCAATTTACAAACTTTCCACATACAACGGCACATAATAATCATTCCCATTTCACAGAAGTGGAATGGGGCACAGGAAAGAAAGTGTGAACCAAAGTGAGATGGAAACCCAGCAGAACTACTCAAGTTCTTGAAAGTGGAAGGATTTCCAGATGCTGGAAATAAGGGGCTCTCAAGAACTTAGGTAGCTCTAGCCTTCCAGGTCTGCCCCTTGCAGTGTGCAGAAGCTTCCCCTTTGACCTGCTCTATCCCAAGCCTGCAGCTTCTTTTCTTTTTGTTATTGGTAGCAGACATCCCATCATACTGATGTCTCTAAAATCCTGGGGTGTCCGTTGAGACTTAAGCTTCATCTTTATGGGATTGCTCAGTGGCCTCTGCAGGGCTCCTTTTAGTGACTTCAGCCCTGCCCATGTACTGGCTGGCTTGGCTGGTTTTCTGTAACCTTGGCATAAGCTTCCATGCCCCCATCAACCTTATATCTTTCATGTGTATAGAACCAGTACCATGTGGAAGCTGCCGTCCATTTTAGGGGCCAGCTAAAGACGCAGCCTGGCTTCCAGACGCAGGTAATCTTTTCAGCTGAATTCTCAGTTTGGGTTCTCTTCTTTCAAATGAATGTACATCTCCACCAGATGGAGCCTTTGGCGGTAGGGGCTTAGCCCTTAGGGCCCCTGTTCCTATTGTCCCAGTGTAGAGTAGAAGGCTTCTCTTTAAGGGTTCCTTTCTCTTTGCAGTTGTGATTGCGTTCTCTGCATCTGACTTATTCGTTACTTTAACTTCCCCCCATCCCCCACAAAAGTGCACATTTTCCATATCCCTGTGTTCACTCTTTGCTCCAGCACACTGTAGACCTGGGGAAGAGCAGTGAGCAGGAGCCGAGGGCCCCTTCACCATCCCTTCTTAAAAGAAATTGCCTCCAGGAGCTATGCACACAGGTGAGATGGGACCAACTACTTACTGCAGTCATTCTGGGCTCTGTTGGTCATGATTTTGGTTTTCTGATTGGAAGTCCCAAAGAATTTTTTCCAGTTTATTGTGTTTGCGTAGCACAAGTTTCGATTTCCTGAAATGACCACGTCTCCATCGCTTATTTCCTTGAGGGAACGCAATCCCAATGATGTGATGTTCAGGCCAACAACCGCAAGAGAAAACTGACCGCTGAATGGGGGAGAAGGAGAATTGCATTGTATGTGACAATGAGAACAACAAGTCACGCTCCGAATTTGTTTTTCTGGGCCACTTGGGTTTTCTGAAAACCGTGTTCCCATTATTAATAATCATTCTGTGAAAAATATGAATCACGGCTTTTGGAAAACGCGAGTATTTTTTTTTTAAGTTTCTTCAAGGAAAGGATGGTTTCTCATCCATTTGTTATTTTTAACCTTGGGTAAAGTGAAGGCCTGGCCAATGGCCTGACGCCATTTCATTTGCTGTATTTATAGCTTTCCTAGAAATCAAAAACACCAAGGTGTACTTGAAGTCAATTTGTCTGTCTGTCCATCTACCCATCTATTCATCTATCCAGGCTCATCCTATCATGATTATTGAGTAAATATCTGTAGTGCCCTTTGACAAACACTGTATTGGTTAAATGTATGCCTCTTTTACTTAGAGAACCTGTCTAAAGGTGATGGCATCATACAGGCAGAGCTTTTCGTTTCTTTCTTTATTTGCTTTTACATCTCTACCACACTTTCCCCTCATCCTAGCCCCTCTCCCTTCCACTCCTCCTCCCTTTCTTTTCAAAAAAGGATAGGTCTTCCATGGATATCAGTCAGCCATGGTATACCAAGTTACAGTGAGATTAGGTACCTCCTCTCATCTTAAGGCTGGATGAAGCAATACAGTAAGAGGAAAGGGTCCCCAAAGCAGGCAACAGAGTCAGAGACAGCCCTGCTCCCACTGTTAGGAGTCCCACAAGATGACCAAGCTATACAACTGCAACATATATGCAGAGTGCCTAGATCTGTCCCATGTAGATTCCCTGGTTGTTGGTTCAGTCTCTGTGAGCCCCTACAGGCCCTGGTTAGTTGATCCAGGTACTTTTTGAGTCCATAGAAATGAACACAGCTTTAGAGAGAATGATTAGTCAAGAAGGGGAACTTAAGTAGCTCCATGGAGGAGCGCCATAGAAGGACAATTTTCTCCAAGCCACGATGTCTCATATCTGAGACGTGGAGAGCAGAGCCAAGTAGGATTCTACAAGGTACGCCCCCACTGGATGACTAGACTGAAGTTAGCCAGACAAAAGGGAAAGGAATGCCACACCACGTGGCTGTCTGCGGGGGGGGGGGGGGGGGGGGGGGGGGGGGGGGGGGGGGGGGGGGGGGGGGGGGGGGGGGGGGGGGAGGGGCTAGAAGACAGGCCTGGGGATGGTGGTTGAAGTCAGAGTCCAGATCTATGGCCCTGCTGGAGGAATTTGGGTTGTCACAGGCCACTGATGGCCAAGCACATAGAAGCAGTGAGTATTTGAAGGAAGCTTCTCTGACACCAGCATCAGGAATGGGTTGGTTGCGACAGGATAAAAGGAAGAGAATGAAAGTTAAGAGGTTACTTTTAAGTCAGAGGAATAAAGCATTATTTGACAGCCCCCTCTTTCTGTTCGTGGTTCTCTATTCACTGCCTGTTTCCAGAGAAGCGAGGGGTCCTGGTTAGGAGACCCACACTGGGAATTCCACTGGGAACTTTCCTCAGAGAAGCCAAGGAGTCAGGATATGCCTGGGGTCTTTCTGGCAGGTCAAGCTCCAGCACTGGGTCATAGAGCTCATCCCCAGGCTGGCATCAGTGAAGGAATGCTCCTGAGAGATCCAGAAGGCAGGAAGCAGATGTAGCTCTGTGCTCATTATCACAAGGGTCTGACTAACAGAGCTGGTGGAAAGCAATGCATTTTCTGTGTGCATCGTGCTATGATATGATGTGAGGTTAGAGGTGGAAAATTTCAGAAAAGGTTCTCCTAATGTTCCCAAGGAAGTTTGAGCTGCGGATGTCCAAGCTTCTCTTCCTCACCACCAATCTTAGGATTTCTCTCATCTATTAAGGGTCTCCTTCCCTTCTTCTCTCTCTCCCTCCCTCTTTTCCTCCCTCCCTCCCTTCTTCCCTCTTTCCCTCCTTTCCTCCCTCCCTCCCTCCCTCCCTCCCTCCCTCCCTCCCTTCCTTCCTTTCTTTCGAGACAGGGTTTCTCTGTGTAACTGCCTTGGTTGTTCTGATTAAAGGCGTAAACCACTACTANTGTGTGTGTGTGTGTGTGTGTATCTTTTTCTCTCTGTGCACACATGTCTTTGTTGTGTCTGAAATAGTGGACATTGTAAGTCCCCAAACCTATTAGTGCTAAAACATCACTTGGGTCCCCTTGTGCGATATGTTAAATACCTTCAACTTCATCACTATCAAAGATTAGCCAAACACAAATAAAGACATTCTATAAAACACCCGTTCATATTTTTCCCAGCATGTCAAGGCAATAAAAACAGTCAAAGCCATAGGAACTAGGGACATTTGGAGGGGACTAAGAAGACATTAGAAGTCAGTGCAATATGGGATTCTTAAGAGGACAGAGAAAGGACACATGCGTTCACGGAAAATCTGGTGAACTCAAAAAAGTACACGGTCGAGCGCACAGCGCTGTGCAGTCAACATCTTTATCTTAATCCACACATCGGCTCATGTAAGTTGCTCAAATTAGGGGAAGCTGAGAGGAAGTTCACCTTTGTCCTGTTTCTGTACCTCCCCTTTAAGGCCAACTTCAAAATAAAAAGCAGAGATAATCTCCCAGGCTTTGGTTACGGCTGACTTACTGTTGCTTTGTTCTGCCACGTATGATTTCTAGGTTCTCAAAAGCATGGAGGTCGGTCCAGTTTTCAGGCCAAGCCTGAATCAGCAAAAACCCTAGAGGGGATGAAGAAAGGCTTAGACACACAATGCTGGAAAGTTCTTTGTTTTGTAGGAAGCATGTTCTAGGACTCATGGTGTACAGACAGTGGCAGTGGAGTCTCTGGTCCTCAATACTAAGGATGACAGTGTACATACTGACACATGTCCCGGTGATCTTTAAAAAGATTTGAAATCCTGCCTCCTCCATGGAACTTTGACTCTCTGACTGCACCTCTCTCAACCCCCAGGCCGATGTCCACCCTACAGGCTGAGGATGTGCCCTGGCTCTGATATCCTTCAAGGATATCAGATTACACACTTGGTTCCTTCTCTGTCTTCAAGTAGCTGCTTACTTAGTCTCATTTTAAATGTTTTCTTCATTTAACTCTGATCCCCACATCAGTCTTGTTTCTCAGATCTAATTATCCCTTTTTAAAGATGAAGAAAATGAAGTGCAGGTGGCAGTGATGAATCCAAGACTCCCCAGTGAGCAATCAGTTGAAATCTAGTTCAGGAACCCTGAAACCCGAGAACCCGCATCTCCCCTTCTTTTTCTCTCCAGGTCTTGAGGTCTGTGAGGATGAAGGCCTGTCTGAGCTGGGAAGAACTGTTACATGTGACCACATGAGGTCCAGCATGGCTTCAGCCTTGGCTTAAAGTGCTTCCAGCTTGCAGAAAGGGAAACAAATTTTACGAACTCTCTAAGAATTAATCCTAACCATAGAGCTTCAGACACCACATTGCTATGCCAGAAAAGAAGGGGGAATGTCTGGTGGTTTCTGTAAAATTTAATCTGTTGTGTATGTTCCCGGATACACCGGCACGAACCTGTTATTTCCTTTACGGTTTTTAGAATATCTAGTTCCCGTGGGTCTAGAGGAGGGGTCCGTGTGAAGGAATCCCTGAAACAGACAGCGACACGATTATCGGTCATTTTCCATGGTTCCAAAGAAGTAGATTTGGCTGCTCTCTCTCCAAGTCACTTAGCTGTTACTTACCCCTTAAAGGCCACTGGCAGGATATGAAGGTCCCCGCTGATGGCAGTGCAGTATTTGAAGTGTTTGATGTTAGTGGCATTTATGGAGAGCGTGTCTCTAAATTCGCCAATGCCTATGCCATTACAAACTGTTAAGAGAGAGATTTGTTCCATTTACCTTTGCTGAACCCGCACAGGCAGAAGCACTAACCCTGTGCCAGTCATCCCTAACTCATCCTGCTCTGAGGGGACCTTCCAGGTGTCTGGACCCTGGCAGGCTTTGGTGTTCCAGTCACTGCAAGGCTTTGAAGTCTCCCTGTTGTTTTCTACTTTGACTGAATCTAGCTACTCATAAAGACATTGGTTCCCTGTTTTTCTGTCCAGGACAGTTCACCTACCTGGGCTGTAGGTGGCACCACTGTGCCTGGTTCAAGAGACCGCCCCCCCTCCCCCAACCTTGGTAACTTGGCTTTGCTAGTTTGTCTTCTATTTTACAGACAAAGATGTGCGTTTTCTTTTTTAATTAAAACAGTTTGTTTTAATTAAAACAGTTTGTTTGGAGGTGGACGTGAGAGTCCGGCACAAGGGTCACGGAAAAGGGTTGTCTACACCTGTAGGCGCCCTACCTTTGCGACATGGCCCGTCACACTTTTTACACTTGCGAGCACCATCTTCCTCCACTTCATAGTAGTCAGGACCGCAGGCCCGGACACACGAGCCGTGATCTGTCACCACGTAGTTTCCTGAGGAAGGGACCATGAAAAGAAGGTGTTGAAGGCCATGGCAGGTGCACCCAACCTTCCACAAACATCCTCATGGCCCGTTCTACACGGGCCACCGGAAAGATCTCTGATAGTTTGACTGACTTTACGTCGAGGAGAGAGGTTGACAGGTTTCAACTCGAAAGGGAATCGAGTTTGAGTTTAATGACTTTCTGACGGTAATGTGGGGAAACACAGACATTTGATCACAGGCGTGAAGGGGAGAGGGAGGGAACAGCACCGTGCATGCTCACTGACCAAAAGCCTGTCTGTGAATATCAACCTCTTTTGTCAGGTATGCGTTTGGAACTTTCAGGTAAACCTTGAAATCGTACGTGACACCCATTAACGCGTCTCAAACAGCCTATGTCCCATTGAGGTGACTGCAGTTTGTTCTGTGTTTGACACCAGCTTTGTTCTTCCCCACCTGCCATGTTGTTCTTGGGGGAGCAGTGAGGGGACCAGCTTGTGCTGCTTCCCAGACAGACACTCCAGTTTGTTTCTCCCCTTTCCCTTGCCTTTCTGTGATCTATCTCATTTAATATTTATGATTATAGTGTGCACTAGAGACTCTTTGCCCCTATTTTGAGTTTCCTAAATAGATCCCCCAAAGTATGGGCATTGGTAGCATATCTGTGAGTCATATGCTCTTATTGTTTTAGGTTTTGAGTGTTTTCTGTGGATTTTAAAGCTCTGTTAACTAAGTCTTCATACAGAGCCCATCTGTAGCATGACTGGGCGAATTTTCATTCATCTTAGTTTTCTTTAACTTTACAGTGGCTTATTATTCTATTTCTTCTTCTTCTTCTTCTTCTTCTTCTTCTTCTTCTTCTTCTTCTTCTTCTTCTTCTTCTTCTTCTTCTTCTTCT